TTCCTCAAAATAATACAATTAGCTACCTAGAACTTCCAATTTCTATTTTACCAGGAAATTCTAGTAAATTAATTACATTTTAGGACTTCTGCCTATAACTTTTTAAAAAAAATTTAGAGTTTATACAATCTCTAAAGGAAAATAGATTTTTCACTTTCAGAAATCCATCTAAAGCAAAACATATTTCTCTTTGAGGAATCCACACATTTGTTTTGTGTGCTTAAAAAAAAAAGGTACTTCTCTTTCAGGAATCCAGGAAGGCAGGCTCTAGAAATGCATTATTTAAAATAATCACACATCATGCATCATATAATTTCCTAGACTGTTTGCAGGTCAATAAAACAATTTCCTAAAAAGCCTATTAGCTTTTATATAAACACTAACAAATGAAATATAGTATTTTATGACTCATTCCTAAGTATTTTCCTTAAAATGGGGGGGGGGAGAAGGGGAGGCCTGTGGGCTAATAGCTCACCACCTGTTTGACTGCCCACAAAGTTAAAATTGTATACTTTCAAATAGCTGGAGAAAAAAAAAAATCTAAAAGAGTATTTTGTAACACATAAATATCATATAATATCCAAAGTTCTGCTGGAGCAGTCACACCCATTTACACTCAGCTGCTTTCGTACTACAATGGCTGAGTATGCATGGCTGCCACACAAACTTATGTCCAGCAAATTCAAAATATTCACTATCTCACTCCTTACAAGAAAAAGAATTAAAATGTATACTACCAAACCCTATGAATAATGTAATCATGTACTGCACTGCAAACATGTACTAGTTAAAAAATAAAATTTTGGGGGAAACAAAATTTTTTCCTGCTTAAAAACACCCATTTAGAAAGCAATCTTCCTCAAGAAAAACTGAAACCTACTCAGCAGCCAAGTTTACGGACAGATCAGTAGGAATATCTGACAAGATCAGTTTAATCCCACTTCTCTATTCTTCATGGATTTTCTAGCTAAAAATCCTTACCTGTCATCAGCTCAATGTCAAAGGTCAAGTACATAAAGATTACGTAAATAAATAATACACAGCTATCACAATAGGCAGGGCCTCCTCCTGTCTACCTCCAGGGACTTAGAGTAGCCTAGATACTGGAGCTCTGGAATCCGACTCCTTGGGTTCAAATCTGTTCTACCCCTCACTAGCTCTAAACTTTGGGCAAATGATCCTCTGCTCCTTTATCTGTAAAATAACAATAGCAATATATATATCCTGGAGTAATGAGAATTAAACAGAAATACTTTGTCCTGAGAGCAGTGCTTGGCACACAATGAATGCTAAATAAAGGTCAGTAAAGCCAGTCGCCTTCTTCAATATACCTCATCCCAACTTCCCCTAGCCCTGATGAGAAAAGTAAAACTCACAAAGGATATAAAACAACAATTAACTGGATTCCCCTTTTGTTAATTACAGCAATGTTAAGTAACTAGGTTATAGGAATTATAAGCAGGAGAAAAGCTAGAAACCTTCCAAAGCATCTCAAATTCTTAGTATCACAGTTCTTTCTGGGTCTTAAAATAGGTACTTGCCCTGTCTATAATTAATAATACAGTTTGGTTTCAACTCTAGCAAGTAGAATTAGCCAAAGAAGGCACCACTTCCCAGCTCTAAAAATAGTACCAGGAAAGACAAAAGATACCCATTGCACCTCATGGGGCCATCTGAAGGAAAAACATACAGTTCACTAACAAAACTTTCCATACCATCAACAACACACTCCAAAGAGCTCCCCACAGACCCACCAGAGGGGCTTCTCCAAAGCTCCAGAAGGCTGTGCACAAAAGCAACAGAGACTGCAGCAGGGAACTTAAACAGGAGCCCAGTGCAGAGAGGGTTAAAGAATCTGCCCCTTCCAGAGATTTTGTTTTGCAGTGATTCTGCTTAAAACAGAGGTGGAGCTGAAGCAAACATTGATATCTGGTTTTCAGCTGCCTGCTCTAAAAGGAACAAAAATCCAAAATCTTCGAACTGCTGGGCTGGGTTAATTACTATAATAAAATCTGTTGCTACTGCAGTTTCATCAACTATATTCAAAGTGATCTGTGACTAAAGTACTATTCAAAAGTTACACTGGAAAATAAGAATTTAAACCATAAAACAAATTTTACAATTTTTGTACAAAATATTTACCAAGACAGAGCTTCAGGGTACCACAAAGCCATGTTATCCTCTTGCAACACCAGGTAAGTTTATTTTGCTATGTCAATTGATGTCCTGTTTGTAAGGCCAAGTCTTTATTTGACAGTAATTTTTATGTTTTTGTTTTTTCCCCAAAATACTACCTTTTTGTTTTGTTAAACAATTTCTAAATTTACTATATTCTGTATTGTTAAATCATCAGAAAACAAGATGAGTCACATAACTCAGCAAGTCATGAGTCAGCAAACAATCTGAATTGGTAATCTCCCCAAGAGCCTCTTGGCATGACAAAATGATGATCTCTTGTTTGTTATGATGCAAGTCTAAAAGCTTCTAATTGGATGGACTGGAGTATAATTCGACTGTCTGGTTTCCTGATTCAGGTGTCAAATAGAAATTCACATATGGGTAAGATTCAGTTCATAAACTATGAGCACATTACAAGCTGACCAAGGAAAACCAGTAAGATTTACATAGCTACTGAAGTGCTACCAAACCTAAAAGGGTACTCTGGGCACAAATATCTTTAGGACTATTTTCACATCTTATGAATATATTTAGGACTAGCTTCATGTCTCTGAGTATTTTTAAAAATAGGAGCAAGTGGTTTTTGGTTTTTTGTATGCTAAGGATCAAATCTACAGCCCTTAGGCAAGCATTCTACCACCGAGCAACATCTTAATTTCTTCTTCTCCTCACAGAATTTTCCTTCAACTAAAGTGGGGAAGCGAAAAGGGCAATCTTAAGGATTCAACTGGATATGATTTTGAAAAACTGCATACACTTTACTAACCTTGTTTAGAAAGTTACTGTTAAAAATCCAATTCATTTCCCTGTATAAATTATTAAGCAAATTTCATAATGTCCTTTGCCTTAGAGCAAAGGTTGCACAAGATTAAAAAAAAAAGTCTGTACTGGACACACTGGACCAGATGAAGCCGATAGTTCCTTCCAAAGAGTGTGCGTGCTACTTCATATTCCAGGACATACCTAGAAAATGGATACATACAGAAAATACTTTGCGTGCCAAATTCCATAAGCTACACCTCCTTGCTGCAGACCTGTTTTTCCTCCTAAGCCACTCACTGCCTGCTCTATAGGCAACTCAAAGCCTCTTCATTTTCTGGGTCCAATCCCTGAATGCTTTCTACTTCCTCTTCCTCCTTTCTCACCGCAAAGTGTCAAAATGCATACAAGTTCATTTCATAACTATTTAGTTTCGTATTATTACTCAATTTCACTTAGGACTCTACCAAATGTTAAGCTTCTAGAGTTTTTTGTAATTTCCTTCTTACCTAACCAGTACAAGTATGCAATAATTTTTTTAAGAAAAGAATTCACCAAGGCACGCACATCTGGCACAAATATGTACCCTGGAAACACTGCATGCTTTTTGCTTCCAGGGCTGGAACGCAAGCTGCAACCCTGTATATGTGGCTAAGCAGTTTGCTAATGCATAACCTGTCACTCCACTTACTCCAGTAAATCTACTAATTTTCCAAAAACACAAGGTTAGTTCAAAGTTGCTTCAGGTTTTCACCTGTCAAGGAGACCTGAAATAAAAATAAAAAGATTACCAACAGGGCTTTGAAACAGAAAAAGTTTAAAATTAAATGAGCTGTACACCTTCCCTTGACTCTACAAAGGAAGATTAGTCGGTGTCAGGATTAAACATCTTTGTAGTATTTCACCCTCCCGCTGGCCCTAATACTCCTCCGTTCCACCTACCAGCACAGGAGTGCAAAATAAAGAGGGGCGCCAAAGCACGCCTAGCTTCCCACCGGAGGGGCAAGCAGGACCCCGGCTCCGCAGGCAGCCGCTGCGAACTCTCGAGGCCCAGCAGAGCAGCCGGCCCAGCTGATCGTGGCCACGTGATGCGCTCCGGCCAATCGGGA